CAACCGATAAATAATCACGATAAATAACATTAAACCGATAAATAATCGCGATTTTAATCAAGATTTCTCGGGCACATTACTATCGAAAACTCGATTTGAAGCTCAGAAATACACTTATAACAACTAGACCAGCTGTTATTCAATGTCCAGTTCTCCAATTTTCAAGTTGCTTTTATCAATAATTCATCGCCCCGGTAGTCTGCTTGACCACAATCCTGTCTTGATTTGTCTCCTCAGGATATTCTGACTTGATTCTCCTGGGATTACCACTCTGACTGTTAACCGGACAGAACCACTAGCAAGGCCTAGACCACGATGAGGTGCTACCTTATTGATCAGTTTAAAGTGCATGTGTGTTTTTTATTAGCAAAAATTATCAAAATAATTTTTTGGATGCAAAAAATCAACTGAAAAAAATTGCCCAATAAAAAAAAATTTTAGAATTATAAGGAAAACTAAAAAAAATTTTTACTCAAATTTTAAATCAGTATTTTGTATGGGTCAAAATTCAATATATTTCAAACTAGTATTCACTGCGAATCGGTATTTAATATATTTTAAATTAGCATTTAATATATTTTAGGAATCAGTATTTAATATGATTAAAACAGGTTCCACCCGACAGCCTCATTTTTGGCATTTGTCCGAAGTATACATCTGAATCGCCATTGTTACTTTTTCCCGAAGATTTGAAAAACAAGCAAAATTTGAAAAAGAAAAACAAAGTTTCCCGAAAAAACAAGCAATAAAAATTTGAAAAAAGATTTCTGATTAAAACTTACAAATTCGATTTGGGCGAGATTTCGTACAAGTGCTTGGAAAAGCATACAATGATGGTATGGGAATGCTTGAACAGCATTACGAAGGAAATGTTCTAGGCCCGGCCGCACTCGATCCGACCGTTCCATTCTGAGCAATTGTTTAGCATAATTTTTGATTAATATTTGCCCATCTCGTAGCTCATTTTCCAACAATGCAGTTTCAACTAATTTGCATGTCTCTCGGACAGTGTACAAAATAAGCCATAGCTTTAGTGACATTGCCTGGAAACGAAAAGGATGTGTGAAACCTGATAATTCAAAAACTTTTTTAGACCCAAATCTCCGGTAAAAAGAGAATCCATTCCTTAGTAAACCAAATGAAGAAGTTTTGTCTCAGAAAATAGCTGAAAATTGATTTGTTATAAAAGGAAGAAGGTGCTAGCAGCAAGGAAACGAAGACGGTGGCTAAAACCCCCTATGTTTTGCCCTTCAGATCCCTGTGATATGCAAATGTCCTTTCTCCTGACTCGAGTTCCCCCTTCCGTGATATTTAATATGGTGGTTAAAAATAAAATTTGGTATGTTTTGTGGCTCCAAAGAATTGTACGACGGCAGCTTGAAAATGCTGCTGGGTTTTCGCAGTTTATTATTCATTTTGTATGTGTTTGCTTTTGTACTTGTACTAATAAAGTTTTATTTGCTGATCGGGTCGAGAGCTATCCTACAACTACTCAGGCCTCCAGCCGCCCTCCTGCCGCGCACTACAGATTATCTCAATTCCAAATTCACTAAAAGCATGTTGAACAACATCTGACGAAGGGCAACTGGGCAAGGCACAAGGAATGTATGCGACTTGATGGACCGAAACATTTCTATTCAGGTTTTTATTCAGATTTAACTTATTCACGCTTCCTTTTATTCCCTTACTTTTTACATAAACACACACCATCTAAAATTAAAATTACAATAAGGGCTTTAGCCACCGTCTTCGTTTCCTTGCTGCTAGCACCTTCTTCCTTTTACAAAAAATCAATTTTCAGTAACTTAATAAAATATTTTTTATTAATACCAGAACCAACAAGCTTAAAACTTCGTACACGTTCAATAAAAAGAGAAAAATCGTTCGGACAATTCTTTTTACTTTATAAATTATTAAAAGATGAAAGGATTAGCGCTTGCTTAATCTATAATGTGTCGATACTACCAGCACTCTTGACCTGTGTCCTCTTCTTCAGAAACACAGTAAATAAGTGTGCAGAATCTTGTTTTTTTGGCCAAACCTACTGCAACTGCTGCAGAAAATTTTCCGAAAATTTCAGACAACAGAAAAAGTTTTTCATTTTCGGAAGCCAGGAAAAATTACGAAATGAAATATTTCTTCGAAAACACTGAAAAAATTATTTTTTTCCAAATCAAACCTCATTCGATTGCTTGCACCGTAATTGCCGTTCAAAAACACGATCCAAAACATATACGAATTTCTTACGATGCGGCCAAATTGTCTCATAATGGTCGCGCAGGAAAAGAATAATCTAAAACAGAAAAACATAGAAAATTTCACAATATTTTTAGTTAATCAAAAAATTCATCTTATTCTAGAAATGTCGAGATTCGAGACAAAGCAGAAAATGCTTAAAGGCAAGCTAATGACGGTTTTGACTCCCTGGCATCTGCCAATACCTATTTCCCAATGAAACGAATAAACGACTAGATGTTCCAGTGCTAAATTTGGGCCTTCCATCTACAGGATGCAAGTAGTGCCGTCTGATATTACTAAGCCACGTTAGGGTACAAAAAATTTATCAAAACTCGATCAAAATTAAATTTTGGCAAAATTTTTGAGTAAATTCTCGAAAATTTCGTTGAATCATTAATTTTTTAGCCAAAAAAATTATGAAAAATTACCCAAATTGGATGAAAAACATGCGTCTTTATTAAGCCGTGTAGCGCCAACGAAAATTTTTTCGGATAAATTTCATCACTATTTTCGCCTTTTGGATGGAGCAATCTTTCAATTTCGTCCAGTGTTATGTAATTGTTGATTATACTGACACATTCATGTTGTCCTGAAAAACACCTCATAACATCTCACCGCCTTCCTCCAATTCCTACAATCAAAACGGGGCATGGAAGCCCCAGATCGTTTTTATCAACTTCCATTTCCGCTGCCATCCAAGGACTCATTGCAGGGGCTGCGAATGGGGGAAAAGGGGGGGGGGGGTTGAAAGTAGGAGATGAACAAGTTCCAAGTTCTGGTCTATTGTCACGGTTGTACTGGCTGGCTTCCTCGCGACTTTTTCTATTTTTTCCTGAACAAAAAAACCTGGAATATATCAATCCACATTCGCTTGGACTACGGATTCCTCCTGAAATCTATTTGCGATCCATTTACGCTTCTTGCGGCAAGAAATACCCGAATAAAGTGTATGAATTATTGCAACGAAGTTTCCGATAGTACTGTACCCTCTTTCTCTTCCCTCCCCTTTCCCTTCTCCCTTCCTCCCTCCAATTCTTCACTGAACCGGAATTATATCCAGTAAAAACAAACCGACAAAAGCCGCCATTTCTGCCGCTGTTTTGCCAATGGAATTTGTTGAATGAGCATATGCACCGTGATCAAGTAGCAATCGACAAATCTCTGAAAGATTATTTCTGAAATTTTAGATTGTGCAAGGAAATTACTAATCACAGATTGGAAATGAGCCTCCTAGACACTGCGTAATCCAGGATTGCTAAGAGTCGGGATGAATGGTAATGCGCCTCGAAACGACGACTAAAGCCTTGCCAGTTGTTTTTTTCCGAAGAATTGTTGAGCTAGTAATACCTCCAGGAGAGACGAAACTCCGAGAACATTACGATGCAACAGAGGCCAAAGCCACTAACAAGCCGTCAAAAATTTTCACGGAGCCGTATATGTTACCCGTGGGCAATGGAAAGCTGAATTTAAATTTTCTGGGTAGCACATGGGTGGGGGACATGCCCACAAAATTTTAGCTTTCTAGCTTCCTTGGTTCCCGTGATAATAATTTTATTCGCCCAGACTTTTACGGGGCCGTACGTGTTACCCGCAAGTACGGGGAGGCTGAATTTAAGTTTGCGGGTTCGCACGTGGGTGGGGAAGGTTACTCTAAATTTTCAGCTTCCTAGCATTTGTGGTTCCTGAGCTGAAAGTTGCGGACAAGTTGCTGCGAACTGGTTGGACGGATGGAGAACCAGACTGTGAAGTGCTCATCCAGATTTTCAAGATAAAACAAGAAAGAATTTACTTAAATAGGGTGGATTAGAGGATTGAACCATTCGTTAGGGCTGTCAGTAGTGCATGGAAAGCATCAATGGCCTAGATAGCGAAGGCGCGATCGATTACAGCATGAAAGAATAGTATATAAGGGAAGAAGGTAAAAGTGAAATAAGACGTTTCAGCCCATTAAGTCGTATACATCTTAGCTCAACACCGTGCGACAGGGCCTAGTCAGTGTGACGGTCGCAGTGCTCAGTGGAAAAGGAAAAGAAAAAAGAAAGACGACAGGAAAGACAGGGAAAAGCCAGCTCTCAAGGATTACGATTCTGTACTTTTTTAAAGTCAGAAAAAACCCATTTCTAATATAAAACTAGTATAAGAGCTGAATTTGAGATTCATTTCCAGACATTAAATCAGAGAAATCGGATAAAAAATCAACGCATCGAAAAGATTCGAATAGAAACCTTGATGGCCAGAAATTGCCGCAAACATCAATGATCTATAGCCTGATTCGTGCTTATTACTGTTCGGATCGGCTCCATTTGATAACAGAAACTTCGCCAGTTTCTCATCACCAGCCCAGCATGCCTGATCCAATAGGGTCATGCCATTCTGAAAAAAACAGTCAAATTCATATCTTTTTTTATAATTTATCCCTTCTAGAGCCTCCATTCCTCTTCCCCGTCCCCTTGTCCTTTCCTTCTCCTCCCTCTCTCCCCCTTGTCCGCCCTCCCATGTCCCCTTTCCCCGTCCCCTTGTTCTCCTCACCAGGAAAACCCATTTTTGGTATAAAACTAATATCCAGTCAGTATCTGAGACTTAATTTTTAGATCAAAGAAACCTCCCCTTCCCTCCTCCCCTCCCGAGATACCTCGAATAACAGCATTTTGCTGGTAGGCTAGACCTAATGCAAAAATTATTATGGCTGAATCTGCGAAAGGTTACTCATAAAACTGCAAAAAATAACAACCCCGTGGTAACTGCTAGAAAATTCAATATGGCACAAAAAAAAAATCATAGAAAAACAGGATTTCCCCGCTGACGTACCCCAGTCAATGATTGTTCAAGCCCATGGCAAATTCTACAGCTCAAAACAAAGCTTGAAAAGATGCGGTTATTAAGACCACACAAACAGCTAACAGTGTAAAAAAAAAAGAGCAAGCAAACCTTATCGGTACAATCAAACGGAATTTGCTTGTTTTTAAGCATACGAATAACATCATTCGTTTTCTCTGAAAAAAAAAAAACTGAAAATTAATTAAATTAGAAAAAAAATGAGGGCTTAGATGCGCAAAATTTGAAATGTTTTTTCCCCTGATTCAAAACGCTTTCTAAAGCAAACCATTTATCTTAGATATGAAAAAAGTATAAAAGACGAAGAGAGGGAGGAAACGGAAAAAAAGTTGAAAGTAAACAAATATGGCTATTTGAATTTTAAATAAATATCAAGTGGATATGAAGGGGCTATTCTAACTATTACATCGTATTCGGCGCAAATATGTTAGGAAGCAGTCTGTGTTTCATCCCTTAGTTGTAAACATACACCTAGAATATATGCGGATAGGAGTAAACAAATACGGTAATTGAAAATTCGAGAAATATCGGGTGAATACGAGCGAGCAATCCAAATATTACATCATATGCAGCGGAGGAATGTTAGGAAGCAGTTTGTATTTCATCCCTTAGCTGTAGACACGCACCAAGCAGAGTATGCTGGTAGAGGAGCAGGAATCATCAGTACAGCTTCCTGCTCGCCGTGTTTATGAGAACCATGTGTGAAATTGTTCAAAATTAGAGTAATGAGCAGACAAGAGAAAATGCAAAGATGGAGGTAAGGAGAGAGAATTTTATTTTTTTTCTAAGAGAAACATTGCCAAACCAAAAGTTTACGATTTAGTTCAGAGTAGCCGTTCACGTGTTAAGCCGATTGCAACAACCAGGTTGACCTTGGAAGTCTAAATGGCGAAGGCGCGATGGATTACAGCATGAAGGGACGGTACGGGAAAAGAAGGCAAAAGTGAGATCAGACGTTTCGGTCCATTAAGTCACATACGTCTTAACTCAACACCGTTACAGGACCTCGTCAGTATGACGGCCGCAGTACTTATTGGGAAAGGAAAAGAAAAGGGAAGAATGACAGGAAGAAACAGAAGGGAAATGAAATGTTTGTGGGATTAGAAGGGTTAGAGTGCAGTGAAGAGGGAAAGGAAAAAGAAAGGGAGGAAAAGAAAATTTTAAAAAAAAGAGTAATTTCTTTTAAAAAAAGTTATGTTTAAAAAAAGATAATGAAGGCTTCTGTTTCAATCACTAAACTATTTTCGCATAAGAAACAGGATGCCATAATATTTTGCGATATGAAAACTACAAACACAAAAAAATGCCAAGGCCGCCAAGAATATCCATGTGGTACCCCATGTTTCGCACACCAATTCCAGCTACTGGGATGTTTCGAACGCCAGTTCCAGCTATGTCAAGTCAAATAATAAAGAAATAAGCATGAATATTTAGGAAGAACTGGCAAAAAATTAACAAAAAAACGACCAAAACAGCTTACTTTGCCTGATTAATTCGAAAATTTCTTTGGTCTGCTCCTCCGATTCATCGCTCTTCTGCAGTAGAACTGCTGGTTCTTCAACAGAAGACATCCTGAAATTCAAAATAAGCATTTCCCAGGAAATTCAAAATAAGCACTTTTCAGGATTGAACAAACTCAAAGCCAAAGCACCCTGTGGATTTATCATCTAAGGAAGACAAAAGTCCCACTAGTAGCAAAGCCAACATGAACCACCTGCCCATAAGAATAATAATGACTCCTTAAGTATTTCAAAAATTTTAAAGATACAAACAAGGAATATCCCTGACTAGGAGACTGGAAGAGGACGAGAGCCTGAAATCGTCTAAGTGTTAACATATGCAGTTTGTTTGGTTGTTGGTCTATCGTGGAGAGGAACACAGTCGAATTTCGATAATTAATGAAAACACAGTGGAAGTGCCATTTAGATTTTCCAGATGAGCAAGCCCGATGGCCCCCAAATTGATGGTTGCTTAGAAGCAAGCTGATGGCGAGTTTGACTTTCTGACAAACGCTAGTGAAAACAATTCACTGTAAAAATGATCAATGAATCGTAGAGAGATTGTTTTTTTTTCTTTTTTTTTTTAATGAATGAACCCTCGATTCTTGCCACTGCGCCATGCTAGTTAGCTTAAGATTAGTAAAAAATTAAGCTAATCAGCAAAAATATAGATTTGTCGATAAAGACAAGAGCGTTCAGCATATTACACAGCGTTCGCGTAGATTCTCATTTATTCCTCAAGAAATCAAGAACAGCACAAAAATAAGAAACAGCAAGCAAAATCAATCAAAAAAACATAAAACAACAAGCAAAAGTAAAAAATTTAGCACCTTTTTACTATGTATTTTACACTAAGGGACCAAGGCTTGCAGGTAGTTACAAGTTACAGTCGGATGAAGAAACCTAACATTCATCTCTCCAATGAACATTCATAGACTAATTTCTTCAGCGAGAGTGGTATTCCACGTCTCACATTTACTGGTAGCAAAATGTACGGCCCCGTAAAAATTTGAGCGGGTTAAACTATTATCACGGAAACCACGGAAGCTAGAAGGCTGAAATTTTGTGGGCATGTTCCCCATCCATGTGGTAGTAAAAAGTATATTTGTCTGAGCTTTCAAAATTTTTGGCGAATGCAGTCCATCTTGCTCTCCTCCGCTGGCATAACTTCTTGTGAATAATTTGAACTGCATAACTGTCGAAGCTTAAAAGTTTCTAACTGCTAATGCGATCAAGTAACTTTTAAGCTTCTAGACACTTATGCAGTTCAGATTCACTAAGATCACCGAGATCCAACATTTCTGGTGCAATTAGTAACTTTTAAAATTTTTATCGAGAATCATCTCAGACCAAAAATACCTTTTGCAT